AGAACGAATTCTGGATTGAAGCAGTTGACTGGTTTGACCGATATAGACACCTTCACAGTTTGTACATGGTATCTCGTAAACAACATGTGATTTTTTAAGTTTTGGAGTTTGTGTTTTTAGTTTATATATATATATATATATATATATATATATATATATATATATAGGCCTATAGATCCTCAGAAATACCCAGATTGCCTTGACTTCTTTGTAACCAAAGTATTCTCTGATACTCAAAACCACTGATACTCCACAATCCAGCTACCAACTGGAATCTGTTGAGAGAAATATTAGAAAATGAAGTAAACCTTAACATATCTATAAAAACAAACCAAGAATTGGAAAACCAAGTACAAACATTTACAGAATTAATACAGTATGCCTCATGGGAACCAACGCCAGAATTGGTCAGAACCCAAAACAGAAGTCACTGCTCTCCTAGTATAAGAGAAAATATTAAAGAAAAACGCCACCTAAGAAAGATCTGGTAAAACACAAGACACCCTGCAGATAAAAACGAGAGCTACCAAAACTATGTCAAAAACCTAACAACAGAGGATACAAATTACAGTTTATGGAAAGCATCAAGCTAAAAAATTAAAGTCCCCCAAAACACCATATCCCACCTAAAAGGAAATTTTCGCTTCAAACCTTAACACAGTTTTTAAACCATTCTTAACACGAGAAAATACATATGACGAAATCCTAGCTTTTCTTGATTCAAAGACGTCATCAGATGAATAAATACAACATATTACAACTGAAGTACAGTGCATTATAAAAACAGAGCTAGACCCTAAAAAACCTCTAGGACACGACTTAATCACTGTAGAAAATTATGAAAGAGCTATCGCGAAAAGGGATACTTACGTTAACCTACCATACAAACACCGTCATAAGACTTAAATATTTTCCAGTACAATGAAAGGTAGCGCAAATAATTGTTTCGTGTTTTTGCCGACCAATAAGTTTACTGCCTGTCATGTCGAAAATTATGGAAAAATTATTAGCTAAGAGACTAATAAAAATTATTGCAGAAAAAGAACTTCTAAACGACACACCAATTTGGATTTAGCGCCAAATATTCAACAATTGAACAGATCCATCGACCGGTAGAATTAATCCAAAACTCTTTTGAAAACAAGCAATATTACTCAACTGCATTCATGGATGTGAGTCAAGCTTTTGCCAAGGCGTGGCATCAGGGAGTACTATGTAAGCTAAAAAACAGTCTACACCAGAAGATGTGTGACATACTATACTCGTACCTAAAAGAAAGATATTTCCAGGTAAAATATGAAGACGAAATAACCGGTTTACATCTCATAAAGGCAGGCGTTCCTCAAGGTAGCGTTCTTGGTTCGATTCTTTACCTACTAGTTAACTCCCATTTGCGTACTGACAATAAAATACATCCAGCCACATTTTCGGACGATACCGAAATAGTGGCGGTACATTCAGATGCCGCTGTTACCGCAGAACATTTCCAAGAAAACTTGGTCCAAATATGGACCAAGAAGTGGAAGATAAAACTCAATGAATCTAAATCAAGCTACATAGTATTCACTAAATGCCATAGCGATTCACGTCAAATATTACTCAACAATGCTCCCCTTCTTACGGTAGATACTGTAAAATACTTAACCTTTGTATTGTCTGTGGGTACGCCTGGACTCAGTAGTAAAATTCAAATGTTTAAATATTTATTATACTGTAAATTTGAGATGTGATGTCTCATGATATCCTTAAGATAAGGTTTATATACAATTTAACGTATTTGCGTTTTGAAATATCAGTTTGGCGTTCTTTGAAATGAAAGAAACACCTCTGTTGTTTATGGGTCCACCTGTACCCAGAAGTGTTTCCAAATGTACGTGTTTACTTTGTTTATTTTTCTGAGAAAAGTGATTAGATTTTATGGGTTCTATTTTCGGAAGCGTTTGTCGAGTATCTTTAGTGGTTGTACCAGACTTGATCGCTTGAAGTTTAGAGTTGAGGGTGTGGTGTACAATCATTTGTGAAAAACAGAATAATAAGCGCTTGCTCAAAAATGAGTTCCAGGAGAGGACTCACAGAAGAGAAATTACGAAAAATCCTTGAAGAAGACTCAGAAAATGAAGATGAATCTACCAATTTAGAAACTGTCACTAGTGATGAAGGGTTAGTAGATGAAGAATTTTCTGAAGAAGATCATGTATCTACGGTTGATGATGACAAAGATGAAATTGAAAATTAGGAAAATGAAATAGAAGTTTCTGAACAAGAAGTTTACAATGCAGAGAATCTCTGAAGGAACTTTGGAGCAATTCTGATGGTAGGCCCATTTTTAGAGCTACTATGTTTCTGAAATGATTTTTGTAACATCAGCGGCTTTTTGCGATTTGATAATACAGAGGATATACCTATTCAATGGATGCCCGACAAGTTAGGTCTAATTAGAAGTTTTTTTGAAGCTTATATATGGACAAGACACTCACCTGGAAAACTTATACTGGAAAAAAAAAGAAAACATCTTTATAACACACATCAAAAATATTATTGGTTACTCAGAAGAAAGTTCCAGTTGTCGTTTCGAAACAAACTACAACTACAACTAGCGTACAATGCCATACTGAAGCCAATTTGGACGTACAGAATAGAGGTGGTGTGGGGATCTGCTTCAAAATCAAACCTAGCAATCATGGACCGATTTCAAAACAAGGTGTTACGAGCAAGAACTGATGCGCCTTGGTTGTAAGCAACAAAGACTTACTACAAAACCTACAAGTGCCAACTGTGAGTGAAGTGATAGTGTTAGGTAGTGATAAATATTTACAACAATTAGAGAACCACCCAAATATGTTAGCGTTAAATTTATTGGACAATAGTCAACAATCAAGAGGCCTGAAGCAAAAATTACCATTAGATTTACCATTCTTGAATTAAGAATCCATAGTTAAGTTGTAATATTCTTGTAGAGTAAATATTTATTGAAATATTTCTCTTGGCGCCAATGATATAAAGTCAATAAATGCGTTTATGGTTTCTCTTGGACTGATTGCACAGTAAACGAACAAAAAAAAAATGTATCAAGCCAGGTACCTGAAAAATCTGCATTACTAGTTTATTAATACTCACCTTGAATTCAGAAGAGAAACATTCCTAGGAGATTTAACATAATTAACCACGCTTAACACCATAGTACCACGCGAGTCTTTTAAAGGTTTGTGATATATCTGTCCTAAGTCTTGCAAACATAGCAAAGACTGCATCTGAATGGCAGCAGAGAGTATTTTCTTCCGAAAATGTATACGCGATGAGATATGTTTTTCCATTTCGAATCGCAACACCTTAGTTTCGTTCCATATACAGGCGACCTTCATCAGCCAGTAGAGATCGGTGTGAATGCAACTAGGGAATATTTCGTCTATTTCTATCACAGGTAGGAAATCTTCGTTGGTGAGGAGTATTCTGTCTTCGTGGTAGAGGATACAGGCCAAATATATGCCCCTAAAAATACGAGAGTTTGATTTGTTTATTTTTTTTTAATTAACAGAAACAGTGAATGACAAGTATATACTCTAATATATTCGCTTTAGTGCAGGCGATATTGACAAATTATTAAAAAAGAAAAGAAAAAATTAATTTTGAAACACTTAAATATTCTAAGCGAAAAAGATATAAAATATGTTAACGCAGTTTCATTCATTTATTACATAAAATATTTCAGATCCTTAAATTGACACAGAATATCTAAATACTATGAGTGAAAAGTGGCCCCGAAACTGTTTTCTTCTGGCATGTTTAGGTTAAATATTATTTTTTATGGCATTAAACTACAATTGATTGTAATGAGAATTGCATTTTACTTTATATTAACATATTGAATTGGAAAATCGTTTTCAAAAAAATTTAAATAAAGAAATTATTAGATTTAACCTCTAAATGTTTATGAGAACATTTACTGGTTAAATCTAATAATTTTTAATGTAAAAATTTTTGGAAACGAGTTCCGGATTGGACAAGTCAAAACATAATTCTCGGTACAATCAACTGTGGTTTAATCACATATACAATAATATTTAAATATCAGTACTCAAAAAAGCAATAGTTAGAATTGGAGAGTATATATCAAAAGTGATGATAATAAAAAGAAACGTGAAATAAGGATGTGTGTTATTTCTTCTCCTGTTAAATCTTTTTGAACAAAATTATGCCGCAGGATAAACTTTTTTCAACTAAATGTGACACTACGATAATTAATGAGGTTCAAATACGGATAAGAAAATGGCAGTTGCCCGGCATTGAAAGTAAATCTAAGACCGTCTTTCTGTTTTAGTTCTTTACTCGGTTTTGAGTATTAGAAACTAAATTCACTAACAATTTTTACCGTGATGAACGGCTTGTGGAATGAATATGATAGTGTTACGTAAAAATTGGTCATATTTACTAAAAAACCCGTAAACATGTTGTTTAATTATTATATGTTCAAGATTTGACCTGATGATAGAAATTCCAGGTAAAACCTACCTGACACGATGGGTTCCCCTCCGATATGAAAGCGGTCAACTACCAATCGATCTTTCTGGAAACAGGCCGCTAAAAAAAACAGTTCGAGACTATTCAGGCCAACTTCCGTCTGCTTCATGATAGATCCTATGGTGATGTCATTTTATATCAATAACACGATTTTTATTGTGGGGAATCCAGTTAGAAAAGAAAATCGCCAACGGGTAGTAAAATGTGACGGTCGTAATAATAAATTGTAAGATTAATTATTGTAAATAAACTTATAAATAAAGTAAATGAAGTTTGTGTTATAAATATAGAACCTTTTATAAATAATACAAACAATAAATTAGAATTAATAAAGACGTTATAATAGATTTCCTTATCGACTAATTTATCAATCTGTCTGCTTTGCACGTTGTAGAAAGCGTAATGGTAAAAATTTTAAAAAAGTAAGAAATCTTAATTGCTAATGTTGAATTAAAATTACTTAAAAACTTCATATAACATACCTGTGCAAATTTCTCTGAAACTTGCTAGCAGCTGAAAACAATTGTTTTATCGTAGTTTTGCGCTTCTGTATTTTCCGAAGAGGTCCATGAGATTCCAAAATTTCGTTTCCGGGCCTATACTGTCTCACTTCTTCCATTAATTGATCTAGCTGATCCAACTGAGCATTAAATCTATAAAAAATATTTATGTAATTGGCCGTTACTTAATGGAAAGTTATGTTCAATAATAACAGGTGATTCAGTGAAATGGCGAAAAATAGTGGAGCCGGAGGCTTGCGATATAAATGTTGTAAATCTAGAAACTGGAATGTTTAGTTACCATGAGGAAGTGGTTGGGTGAATAACGCACATTTGCTGTGAAAGCTTATTACAAAAAGGGTGAAAGCTTTGTGCGTGTACAACGCGAGTTTCGTTTACACTACCATTTACCATCCCACGCTCCAGTTCCGTCTAACAAGGCTATTCACAGAAAAGAAGTGCAGCGTCAGACCTGCCCGCACACCACAAAATATTGAAGCGGTGCGCATTACACGCGAGTCCTCGAATATCCCTACGACGACAAAGCTCAAATCTGGGATTATGCTTTACCACCACGAGTAGAATTTTGCATAAAGATCTCCAGTATCATCCATACAAAATCCAGATTGTGCAAGCCCTTAACGTTCGAGATTATCCCAACCAACTAGGATTTTGTGAACAAATGTTGGAGCGTATTAATGAAAATGACAACTTACTCTGGATGAGTGATGAAGCCCACTTTCATCTAAGTGAGTATATAAAGTTCATGTCACCCAATATTATCTTGATGTCATTTTTTGGGGCATTGTCGTATAATTCTTCTAATTGATCGTAGAACTCCTCTTTTATTGTTATGTCGTGTTCTTCTGTTGGACTATGGGCATTAATGATTGTGAGGTTAAAAAATTTTGTTTTTAGCCTCAATCTACATAATCTCTCATTTATTGCTTCGAAATCTAAGATATTGTTTTTGATGTTCTTATCTACTACGACAGCCACTCCAAATTCTTTCTTTCCATTTTCTTTGCCGCCATAGAACACATGAACGCCCAAATAGGCAAAGAAGAACAGTTCGCAGGAATAATCGGCAAACACTCACTCCATCAAAACACCAACGAGAACGGGGAATTCCTAATTAATTTTGCAAACAGGAAAAACATGATCATGAGCTCTACGTTCTTTGCTCATCGGGATGTACACAAAGCAACGTGGATCATGCCAGGTGGAGCGGTTACTAACCAAATTGACCATGTCTTAATAGACAAAAGAGCTGCCACCAACATCCTAGATGTAAAAAGTCGAAGAGGAGCATGCTGTGGATCTGATCACTTGCTGGTACAAGCAAAATATAGATGCAGGATCTCAAGAAACAGAGATAAGAAAGAACAGATAAAAGAGCAGTTAGACATTGATAAGCTAAGCCAACAAAACGTTAAACTGAGCTACGAGACAGAAATAACCCAGACACTTATAAACACAGATAACCTAGACATTGAAGAACATTGGAAACAAATGAAGACAAAAGTATTAAATGCAGCAACAAAGACCATCGGTAAAAAGGTAAAGAAGCAAAGGGCAGAATGGTTCAACGAAGAGTGTAGACGGGCCATACACGAACGAAATGAAGCTCACAAGAAATATATGGAAAGGCGAACCAGAGAAAGAAGAACATTTTTCGAGGAGCTACGACGCAGGGCGGATAAAATATGTCGAGGAGAAAAAAGAAAATGGGAAAATAATAAGATACAGAAAATGGAACAAAACCTCCAAAGCAACGATCTAAGGGAGGCATATAAATATCTTCGACAACTAAGAGAAGGATACAAACCCCGAACAAGTCTGTGCAGAAACCAAACAGATAAGATAATTAGTGAACCAACGCAAATAAAATCAGTTTGGAAAAGCCATTTCCAAGCTCTGCTAGGAGCACAAGGAAGCTCACGATCTTCGGATTTGCGGCACATCGAGGAAGGAGACGAAGAAATAAGCAGCCCGACTCTTAAAGAAGTCAAACAAGCAATACAGGCGCAAAGAAACAACAAAGCGCCGGGATTTGACGATGTCCCTTCCGAACTGTATAAATTAGGTGGCGAACATCTAACAACGCAGGTGCACGCGCTCATATCTAAGGTATGGAGGGAAGAAAAAATTCCTAGCGATTGGAAAAATGGGATTATCTGCCCAATCTACAAAAAAGGGGACAAACTTAAATGCGAAAATTACCGCGGCATAACCCTCCTATGTTCGGCATACAAAATTTTTACATCCATCCTGAATAGGCGACTTCAACCATTATGTGAAAATATTATCGGCGAATACCAGACCGGTTTTCGACAAGGCAGGTAGACAATAGATCAGCTTTTTACAGTAAAGCAAATCCTTAATAAAGCTTGGGAACACGATATTGATGTTCACAATATATTTGTCGACTTCAAACAGGCTTATGACTCCATAAATAGAAGCCGTTATATAACATCATGGAAAGCTTCAATATTCCCTCGAAATATATCCGACTAGTAAAAGCAACGATGGACTCCACAATAGCAACTGTACGCATACAGTACGAATTAACTGACAGCTTCGAAATAGTTCAAGGGCTGAAACAAGGTGATGGACTAGCTCCAACACTGTTCAATCTGGCCCTTGAATATGTCATCAGAAAGCTGAATGTCGGAAGAGCCAATCTCCTAACAAACAAATCTGTCCAGCTCGCCGCATATGCGGATGACATTAACCTCATGTCCCGCAGAGTGGATGATGCAGCAGAAACATATTCGCAGCTGAAAAAAACGGCCAAGGAGATTGGACTTGAAATAAATACACAGAAGACAAAAATACTAACACAGACGCGGACAACGCGAACAAGAAATCAAATCAAAGTAGAGGATGACATTGAAACAGTGAAGAGTTTTACTTATCTGGGAGTCGAAATGAATACGGAGGGAACAGAAGAGGCCGAAATTCAGAAGAGAATAATGAAGGGAAATAAAGCCTATTTTTCCCTGATTAACATATTCCGCTCCAAGACGGTACATCGAAAATCGAAACTTAAGGTCTATAAAACTATCATCAGACCGATAGTATGCTATGGATGCGAGACATGGGTTTTGACAGAAAGCACTAAACGAAGATTAGAGGTTTTCGAGAGAAAAATCCTAAGGAAGATCTTTGGACCCATCACTCAAAATGGGATGTGGAGATCTAGATATAACCATGAACTCTACCAACTGTTCAAAGAAGCACCTATTGCAGAGTTGGCTAGAGTACAAAGGCTTCGATGGGCTGGTCATGTGGTACGGATGGATGCCGACAGATTGCCGAGAAAGGCCTTGGATGGTAAAATGCAGGGCAGAAGACCAAAGGGAAGACCACGTAATAGATGGGAGAACGAAGTCACAGCAGATGCGCACAACTTATTGAATTTCAGGGCTTGGAGACGAGTGGCGCGGGATCGCCTTTGTTGGAGGCAGAAGTTACAGGAGGCCAAGGCTCAATTTGGGCTGTAGCGCCATTGGAAGAAGAAGAAGAAGAAGAAGAAGAAGAAGAAGAAGAGTATATAAAGTATATAAAAATACAAAATTTCCGCTATTGGTCCAACAATAATCCGCGACAATTACACGAGGGATCCCTATATTCAGAAAAGGTAACCGTGTTGTGTGCAATTTCTTCGTTAGGGATAATCGAAACATTTTTTTGAGGACGAGGATTACACGCAGTAACAGGAAACTCTGCCTTCTCAGTTATTATATTTCTAAATTTTATTTCCCACATTTTCCCCCGCTCTCAGGCTTTCTATTTCCTCATCCAATTGTGTCCTATACTCTCTCGCAACGATTTCAATGCGCAGATTATCAACATTAATTTTGTTTTGATTTATATGTTTATTTTCTTTAGGTTTGAAATTCTTCCTCTGATTTTTGCCTTTACAAGAAAATGGTCATTATCTATGTTTGGACCTCGGTAGCTTCTGACATCGATGAGGTCGGAAAATTACCCTGCATCTATTAGAACGACCAACAATATCTGTTATAAAAAGTTTAAGTCTCTCAAAAAGTATATATTTAATATGCAGATATTAACAGAGTAATACCTATATAGTTCTTGCAATCAAGTTGATCGCCATTTTTATAGAGCGACAGATTATTCCCTTCAGCCACTCGTCTTAAAAGAAAAAGATTAAACTAAATGTTCATTTGGAGAATGGATAGGCAGACGAGAAATCGTTGAGTGACTCGCACGGTCATGTGATCTGACACCCTGTGATTTCTTCCTGTGGGGTCTTCTCAATGACCGCGTTTTTGCAAGAGGACTACGCACCCTTCCTGACTTCCGAACTTCAATTGAAGAACAATTTGAAAATTTTGCGGACAGCTTGACGTGCTTCAATGGACCTGCCTCTCCGTTGCGAAACGCAATGCAGCAAATGTTCGCCCACCAAACTTGCGTGGCAGTGGCGAGTAGCAAGTAGCACGCATCTAGCATGTTATTTTTAAATGTAACCAATGAAAAAAATATATTAGAATGAATGACGTCACTATCATTTTGGTGAGCGCTGAATCATTCGTTTTTATAGGTTACATTATGCTAGACGTGTGCTACTTGCTACTGCCACGCCACTTTGGTGGGCGCACTCCCTAACAGTAACCCTTTTTCGAACCCCTTTTGTACTTTCTTGGAATAAATTCATTTTGACGCTGCATTTTTTTCTTAATGCCAATCTGTTGCCTGACTTATGCCGAACCTTGTACATACATTTCAGAACATATTTAATAAATTCCTGAGGCTTTATTATTTTTAAGTTTTTGGATAACATTTGACACGTCTCATCTTGTTGGTGCGTAGTTGCCGATGCAGGTTTAGTTGATTTTATAATGTTGTCGCCTTCTTCAGCATAATTTAAATGGAGAAGATCGCTGAAACGTTCTGTCCATCTATTAAGAACTGAGTTTACATTATGTAGAATTTTACCATTGATATCTCTACAACTTTTCAATTTTGGCTTAAATTCTTGTCTCCTACTCTTTCGGGATTTGTAGTATTTTTTCATTTTTATCAAATAAGCTTTGTATCTTATTTAACGTTTTCTGTTCAAATTCCCTCTATTTAAATCAATGGATACGCTTTTCCTTTCTTCTGAGGCGTCTATACTCTTCTTTTTTCTCCGAATGCAACCTGATTCAAGAGTTTTTTGATATACCGCGTTTTTTCTGTTTGTTGCCATATTGAACTCATTATCAAACCGCTGACTTTTTTCTGCCCTTCCTTTACCCAATGTTTCAACCGATTTCTGCAATACAACGTCTCGTATTTTTATCCATAACTGGTTAACATAATCTTCTATGTTTTCGGTCCTTATTTTATCTTCTATTTGCTCTCTATATACATTAGCTATATCGAGATCTTTTAGCTTTTGAATATTTATCTCTCCTTTTTCTGATCTCCTTGTTTTGATCAGATATTCTTTCTTTAAATCGCGCCTTAAGCAAATAGTGACCACTAACTAGATTTGCTCCTCTGAAAGATCTAACATCTAAAAGGATGGAACATAACTTAAAATATGTAGTTCTATTTTATTGTGATTGTAAAAAAATGTATACATTTTGAGCAAAAAATATTATAGTTCCCAAGCTTTTGAATTACTTACCTATTTACATTATTATCTAATGATACTCTTGGCTTTTCCAATTGACCTTGTTGAGCAGCATTGTAGAGAGCTAAAAGTACATAAATTTGTCAAGTAATTTTTTTACGAAAAATAAGTTTAGCATAAAACGATTTTTTATAAAACAATAAAACACTGAATGTTTTCAAAACACTAAGTGTTTTTTTGTTATATAAAATGAATTTCCATCATAATTGATAGATTCGAGCATTACTTGATGGAAATTCATTTTATGTAACAATAAAACACTGAAAACTTTGTTTTCAAAACTTCCACAATAATTTATTATATCATCTTATCACTACAGCGGTTTCGGCTTATTGCCTTACTCAAGTGATCACTTGAGAAATGCAATCAAAAGAAGAAGAAAAGAAGAAGAGAAAAAGCTTTCGACAAAGTACAACACCCAAGAATGGCAAGAATACTGCAGAACACAGAATTAGATGACGAAGACGTGAGAATCATTGCCAATCTATACCGATATCAGAAAGCCATAATACGAATAGATCAACAAAAATCGAAAGAAATACCTATAAATCGTGGAGTAAGACAAGGATGCGTGCTTTCCCCTTTACTTTTTAATACGTATTCAGAAGAATTCTTTAAAGAGGCATTAGAAGACGTAAATGAAGGCATATTTATTAACGGAGCGCTTCTGAATAATCTTAGATACGCAGATGACAGAATACTCCTTGCGGACAGAAGAGAAGGACTACAGATCTTGGTTGATCGCATTACCCAATACTGCGAAAGGTATGGAATGGCACTGAATACAAATAAAACAAAAATCATGGTGGTAAGCAAAAACAATATTGAGGAAGACAGTGTTTATGCTAAAGGAAAACTTTTAGGCAGGGTGCACAGATGTCAGTACTTAGGTTGCGAACTAAATAAAGAATGGGATAGAAGTACGGAAATATTTTCAATGGAAAACTCAACATTGAAATTAGAACTAGTGTATTGAGATGCTACGTGTTCTCTGTCCTGTTGTATATGGAATTGAGGCCTGAACAATTACAGAGGCGACATAGAAAAGACTCATTAACTTTGAAATCGTTATCGTATAATTTTATCGAAGAATATGGAAAATATCTTAGACACAACACATAACAAATGCGGAAACGCTACGAAGAATGAAAAAAGATAAAGAAAAATAAACTCAACACTATAAAGAAAAGAAAAATTAGCTACTTTGGTCACATACTACGAAACGAGAAATACGAATTGATGCGGCTGGTCATTCAAGGGAAGGTGAAAGGCAAAAGAGGACCGGGGAGAAGACGCACGTCCTGGTTGAAGAATCTGAGATGAAGAAGTGGGAAAACGACAATAGAACTTTTCAGAACGGCTGCAGATAGAGTCAAATGGGCAATGATGATCGCCAATGTCAAGTAGTTGATAATATAGTATCGTACTGTAAGCTTAGTATAAGTATACTTGCATAAATTTTACCGCCTGTTTTATTTATTAAACACGTTACAATACAATTAAAAATTTTGTATTGATCGTTGGCCGTGCATACGGGCAAGGGCCTAAATTAAAAAAAAATGGTACACCACTCAGATATTTCAAATTAAAAATCATTTTTGAATTCTTAGTTTAATTATTTGTATTAAATTATTATAGTAGCACTAATAAAATTTTCGTATTCAACTACACATTTCTAATCAACATTCTTACTGCCCCAAGATTCAGAAATCTTTTTTTTCTGAGCTATAGAGCCTTAAGTATCGTTTTTTAGTCCATTTTCTAAAACCATGAATTTGGAAATATACCGCCCCACATATTCACATATTTTGAATCTCAATAAACACGAATATGGGATCTGGATGACTTTTTTTGACAGGGAAACATTAGGAAATGTCATTCCGATACCATATTGAATGTTATATATGGTCCATATTGAATGGGATGGCACGTTTCAAAAATCATGATTTTGAAGAATGGATTGAAACACCTTGAAGCTCTGTACCTCAGAAACAATTACTTGTGATCAACAATCAAACTTTTAATCAGCACAACCAAAGCTACCTCTCTGCAAAGTTTCAGTCAATTTAACTGAAACCACTTTTGCATAAGTAAATAAGAAATACACCAGGAATATTTGCACGAATATGACAACCAAGAGTGTATTGAATTGAATTTTGTATCACGTTTCAGGAGGTCATTTTGAACATTCTTTTTAACTTAAGGCTGTTTTAGCAGTTGAAGCACACTGCGATTTGAAATGGGCGTATCACTTACTATTCTACACTGCTTACGCCAGACCATCTTTACTCAGTGGCGCCGGCCGAAGGGTAGTTTAATGACAACAAATGCATTATTCTCCATTCAAATTAGTTTTAACACGAACTAACTGACCGTACCTTCATGAGATTTGACGTCACGAAGGCGATAACGGTGAAACTAATCGCCAATGATGAGTAACACGTTTCACTATTAGATTTTAGTATTTTTTTTAGCAATTTTCTTCAAAGTTGGAACACGCTTTTTCCGATTATTACTGGACTAAGAAAGGTGAAAAAAATCAACGATTACAGAAAAAAAAACTCTTTCAAGTGATGGGCGTAAACAGTTTGATTATAATATAACGTTAAACAGTATAATCCAATTTGTCAATAGAAGTATCAAAAAAATAAAAAACAAGCAAAACCATCAATTAAAGGCAACATAATTTCAAATATCGTGTCCAAATTTCGAGACATTTTGTCGGTAAATAACAGAGAAAACACTGTCCCTAGGTTTTGGTGCACCGATAAAACAACCTTAAATGTAATTTATAATTTTATTAGTGGTACTATTATTCTGGTCTAGTGATACTGTAATAGATAGTTCTTGAAAACGTATTAAAAAAATGAAAAATAAAAAGAAAACATTTTTTGTCATACATGAACCATAGAATTTAAAAACGATTTTTATTTTGAAATATCTCACTTCGGGACCATTTTTTTTTTAAATTGAGACCATTACCCGTACCTATGCGCGCCAATGATGAATATAAAATTCTTATATGTATGGAAAAATGCACAATAACTACCTCTTAAAACGCACCAAATTTCATTTGTATATTTTAACCGGTTTCAGAGCAATAAATAAATCCTCAGTATATAAGAAAAATTACAACACCTCGTATCTCGGAAAATAAAGCATTGGTGGACATACATTTATACAGCAAATTTTCATTATTTTTTTTTCAGGCAGAATCACTCCTTGAAGTTCGTTGTACGTATTTAACACCAACATTCTATAATATATTGTATACAATTATGTATTATTCAAATGGACTAAAAATTCTTACCAAGAAAACCAAGATTTCTGAGTTTTGGGACAATGATAACTTTTGATCAGCACGACCAAAGCTACCACTCTTCAAAATTTAAACTATATTTATTTTTAATCTGTTAAAAATTATATGCTGTTTTCGCTTTTAGTTAGATTATGTTATTTTCAATCACTTGTTTATTAGATTGGTTAAAGACAAATTAAAGTTGGAGATGTTGGACTTTTTTAGAAAAAATAAGATGGTTCTGACTGATAAAAAAATATCAAAAGAGGCTAAGTAAAACAGATCTACACTATGTGACAGAACCGTAAATTACATTTTATGCAATTTTGTGCTGTATGCTACATGAAGTTTCTACGTCATTTTACGTATTCGCTATGTGCAAGTTCGAAAAAGCGACACTACACTAGGTGCATCTACATTTACACATACTATTAACTAGTATAAAATATAGAACTATAGATGTATACAACTATACAATTGCACACCCATATCCGGAAGGAAAGTATATAGCTATACATGTATGTATGTATTGTAAAAGAAAAAGCACTTACACAGTAATGTATACAAACTTAAATGTGACTACTGTCCAAAAACTTATATCGGTCAAACTGGTAGAACTTTTAACAAACGTATAGCAGAACATAAATGGGCTTTCAATAATAGAAAAACAGATTCTACGTATGCACTTCACCTTCTAGACCATAATCATTCTTTTAATGACGAATTTCAAATTCTTCACATCCAAAATAAAGGCCTTAAGCTATTTTTGTTAGAATCTATGGAAATTAAAAAAATTCACACATAATTCTGAATGATCAACTTAAGACAAACAGTTCTCTCTTTCTCAACCTATTCAGCCGAAACCGCTGTAGTGATAAGAATTTATAATAAATTTTGTGGAAGATTTGAAAACAAAAGTTTTCAGTGTTTTATTGTTATATAAAATTAATGTCCATCAAGTAACGGTCGAATCCATCAATTATTAAAACGTAAACGTTTCGGAGGAGCGACACCTTGTGATCAGCGAAGTTTTTAGTAAACTGCAAATAAAATGACTTAAACTTGTTTATTTAATACAATAATTATTGTAATGTATATTAGAAATCCACTTTACTCTTTGTATTAGTTTTTGCTTATAATTTTGAAACAAATAGAACTTGAATTGACTATTTTGTGTTGTATGTTTACAATTTATAATACAGCATTTGAGAAATCTCATTTTCTTCAATGATAGTACTTACGAAATGTGCTAATAAAAATGCAAGGTTTCGCCACCTCACGCGCGATCGTTTCTCGTAGCTCCTCAAAGTACTTGCCACAGCGACTGGTAACATAAGATGTGATACATTATACCGTTTTGACTGTTGTGAGTGAAAACTGCAATCTTTGGTACGTTTTGAAAATTTTACACATTTATGTAATTGTTTTACTACAACAAATGACCAAATAGAGAGATGGAAAGAGCATTTTCAGGAGATGCTAGGCACGCCCAGGGATAACGCAGATGAAATTGTCGAAAATCCACAGAATATAGACTTGCGTATATCTTGCGACGCCCCTTCCAAAACAGAGATAATAACAGCTATCAAATCTCTGAAAAATAACAAGTCTCCGGAATCGATAACATTGCTGCCGAAATGCTTAAAACTGATCCGCATCTAACTGCTGAACTTTTGCTCCCCATAATCCGAGAGGTGTGGGAAACAAACCGCATTCCAGCGGGCTGGAAAAAAGGCATCATTACTAAGCTTCCAAAAAAGGGCAAC